GATATTCCGCTGCCAGGCTTCGAACCTGGAATTATCATCATTGAAGGTGAAGATTTTGCCAGTGTGCTACAGCGGAACTTTTAATTAGTTAGTAACTATAAATATATATAAACACAAAGATTTTATTGGACTTCTCTTTAAATCCAGTATCCGTCAGTTATTCATAACTCAGCCCACTTAAGGCCCATGTATAAATGCGCGGTTTTATATCATTTTTATTTACTAAAACAGACAGAAAACAGAAGACAATTGACTATTCTAAGAATGACATGTGTCATTCATTTTTTTCTAATATAATTTTTTTTTTCTTGATTCCGAATAATCCTCTTTCAATAACCAAAATTCTTTTTTTTTTTTAATCCAGAAGAACAAAACCCCACGATCTTTCTTTTAGTTTCTCACTTTCATAGCAATTAAAAATATTTTATAGCACTTGAATTTTGTTTTCTATCGTTATTAGCATTTAAACAATTTTAGATCTAGCAAATTTATAATCATCTCCACTATCTTTGTTTCAAATATTTTATAATCACGTTTTTTTACCATTTTCCAAAAAAATAAAAAATTTAATTATTAATTTATTTTTCAAATATAAACCGTGTCTATCATAAATTTATGTCTATTATAAATTTCTCAAAATATATTATAATTACTTTTATAGTACTCTTCTGTCTATGATTATATCACATGAATATATATAAATCTAACCTTCTAAATATCAAGCAAACAAATTTGCAAAACATATCCCCTTCCTATTAAAAGAGAAGTACAATTAGTTAGAATGATTATTTGTTTTAATTTTATTGGCTCAAAACTATGACTTGTCATGGAAAAATTATGACATGTCTATAYAAAAACATGACATGGTTTAATCTCTAATTACTTTTTAACATAATTTTTATCACAAATTAAATTAAAATAATAAATTCCCTTCCTATTAAAAGAGAAGTACAATTAGTTAGAATGATTATTTGTTTTAATTTTATTGGCTCAAAACTATGACTTGTCATGGAAAAATTATGACATGTCTATAGAAAAAGATGACATGGTTTAATCTCTAATTACTTTTTAACACAATTTTTATCAC